CTGATATAACTATAAACAGCCGCTTTGGTCTATCCAGTCCGTGCATCTCATTAGCTGCGTTTGTAATAGCGTGGATTTTCAACCCATCTAATACAAAAAGAACCAAGTTTTTAGTCGTTCTGTCAAGTATGCAATTTAAAATTAGCACTCCAATGCTTTTTTATTTGCTTTTTAATCTAATTGATAAGCTGAGCAGTAGTTAACGTCTAAAAATCATTATTAACAAGTAAGTTAAAAGCTACCCACCATGTGAGTCGTCTTTATTTAAGCGAAGTTAAAAGCAGAAAATACCCAGAAAATATTTACGAGCAGGATTACATGCTGATGAGACTTTCAGAAGGACGGCAATTGTGTGTTAGGGAGGTGGAAAATTGCAGGACAATCTGAGCACAACTTGGGACGTGGGGAAGTACAGAATTGCTTTCCGCTGTAGCAACTATGGAAGCAGAGGAGAGAGGGAGGAGGAAGAAAGGGAGGAGTAGACCACTTACTTGCTCTTCTTACTTTTTTTTAAGCCACGCCGACAACCTGGATAAACATATACGCATATGCGTATGTTGAATGAAAAAAGCTGTTCGATGATGATATATGAGTCAGTGAAGACTGAGTAGTAGGGGACGCAAGAATTTTGCGTAATATCAGCCTTTTGAAAAGCAAAAAAGCGGATATTTTATAATCTTATGTTCTCTCTCCCCTGATCCTACTAAAATGGTACATATTTTGGGGTGAAGTTACAAATAGGAGACTGAATCCTCCATCTATATTCGATTTTAGGACTATTGGATGCGAGAATCAGTGGATGGCGCAGAAACAGACCCAGCTGAGTTGTGACACCACAGCGCTTTCCCTGTTGGAGGTTCAAAAATCACTTATTAGACATCAAAATCTTACCGCTGAGGTGGAGCATCGAAATGCCAGGAATATTCCTCTTATAAAGGTAAATTTGCTTTTAATTTTCCCTTAAATATCCTTTCAAGAGCCTTATAAATAAGCATTGTGGAAACAATTACAAAATGACATATTTAGGTAAAAGGTGGTGTCAAATCCATAGCACATATGGGATTGACTACCTACCAAATCGTGTGTCATTCACTCCTCTATTGCCTCCTTATGGAGGAGAAGTGGGAGGGGAATTGGCAAGCAGATGCTGGAAGGACTAAGATATGATGTGATTAATCACTCTTGCTGATTTCTTTTTCTCTCCTCTTTGCATTTTTAGTGCCAGAATCTGTAGTTTCAATCACGTTTACTTCTGGCATCACAAATATGTGGCCGTATGAGTTTCCCTTCGATCTCTCACGCCACATATGTGTGACAGTTTTGAGTAAAATGGGAAAAAAAGGAAGAACTAAGTAGGAAGTTGTGGTGATCATTTTCGCCTTTTGTGACTCTATTTTTATATAGGCAATGGCAAAACTTGGGAGACCCTATTTTGACAGAAGACGGACAAGGAATTAAGATAATGGAGGATAAAAAAGGCGACGGGGCTAATTAAAGTGACTTTCCCAAATCCCCTCTATGCATAAATTAGCAAAAACACTGAGTATAAAGGTTCCCAACAAGCAGATGGAATGACGAAACCAATCAAAATGCTGGATGGAAGGCGGTTTGCTGGACAAAAGTAGTTAGGACGTGAGAAGTGACTGGCATCTGACCTCTTGCTGAACAAGTTACTCGGATCAAATTACTGTAGCCAAATTATCAGTAGAGAATATATATCCAATGTTTTCTTCACATTATAGACGACTCTTGAGTGGCTACGATTATGCAAAGTTGTGGAGACTGAGGTGTCTCACCCAGCCAATGAGGCCTATTGTGTAGCCCTCATAATGGCGCATCGGGGTCTTTCAAAAGAGCTGTTAGCAAAGATCAGCGAATTGGTGTTTCGACAAGCCGTAGTACATCGGGAAATTGGTGTTCGTCGCTCTGTTCTCTATCATTGGCAAGCCTGGTTCGTTCAGCACATGGATTTGCTAGAACTCTACAATTGGCTAGCTGAGACGGAGTCAACTGTGATGACAGAGTGCCATGCAGCTCGCGGACTTGCCTCAGCCCATGCTGCCATCAAGAAGCATTCGGTGGTTGAGGCCATTGTCTCAGAATTTCAGGCACCAAGACTGCGACAGTTAAGTAAGCAGAGAATTACTAAGTTCATCGTTTTGTTATCAATTTTGGTGTTTTTCTAACAGATAACATTTTTTGTTTCACTTATCAATCAATAAGCTATTCGCCACACATTTACTGAATTTGGTTTCAATGAGTTCTTTTCGGTAGCAACTTGGAACTCGCAACATCCCGTGCTGGAAGAAGCTGTAGAGAAACACTGGAAATCTTAAGACGTGCCTGAGGACCTGGTTGACGCGTGAAATTACAGGTTGTGGCGATAGGCAGATTATACATTCCTCGTCCTCGTAAGGGCTCTCTTCTCTCGATCACAGTGTGGTTGGTGCTTGAAAGTAGTAGTCAAGTTTCCGTGAAGCCGAAAGGGGTTCATTTATAGTATCGAAAATGCCTTTTGTATATTACATGCTATATGGAGTTTGTTCTCTTCATGGAACGCTCCAAAAGGAGAAGAGCTGCTGCTTTTTTACTGTCTACAGTTGGATGGTGCTCAACAAAGGGAGCGCTCAATGAATGAATCACCATTCGGGGTAATAGTTGCCGACCTCATTGCTGTTCATCGTCTGCTGGATTCCGTTTAGCTATCTAAGACGCGTGGGAAGCTTAACTTGTCCAAAAAATTTAATCAGCCTCACATAAGTGCCGTAGACAACTCCATGATACAAGTTTTTAAGTCATTCATGTCCAATGTTCCTACATTTATGAGTTCTTGCCTTCCAGAACACTGGAATAGCATGCCTGTCAAAGGTGTAAGTGGTCTCGGTAAACCCTTCTTTTACGTGTCACTATGGAACCACGCTCCTGCAGCCAGGGCCTCTTTTTCTTCTACCTCTAATATCTAAAAATCGTTATTAACAGCTTGTATGTTGCCCACTTGATGCTACTGGTTCGGTTCTCATGTTTACCAGTTATTCTTTAAGAAGCAATTGTCACGTCATTCATCGTCCATTGGAGCCATTCCATTAGTGGAAAAATTCCACTCTTCTACCGAATCCAATTGCCTTCTTACAGACACTCAAACCGCCAATCTACTTACTGCAACAGCGAATATGATAGTGGTTGAACGAGAGAAGTTAGAGCGTTACTTGGCAGTCGGCGCTCTCTTCACTGACACCGATAAAACCGCCAAAGCGAAGGTGCATCGACATAAATTGCGTCGACGGATTCACATTCTGGAAAGATCCAGTGTCAAACTGCGCTCGACACAGACCTCTGTACAGAAACAATTTACAGATCTTCGTGATCTAGTAATGGAGAAGAAGCATCGGTTGTACGAACTACTCGCTTTGAATAGACTCTACGAAGAAGTCAGTGATATAGAGGTGAACGCTTTTTGGTAACCCTGTCATCTTTCTTTATTCAAAGCCACTTCTTTGTTTCTTTTGTTGCATAACATTTTCTTTTCCGTTATCTGTGAGTATACACACTGAATGATTAGCATAGTTTAATCACCACCGTCACTTATATGTGACGCTCTGGATTTCGGAGTTGAGATCAGCGCCATAAACATGTCAGGTCTTTTGCCAGATTTTGAAGGCCAAAACAGTCAAACATGCGTTTAAAAATAACATTCTTCCCAATCTGTCTATCAGTAGATATTCTGTTGATTCATTTGGTAAGATAGATGTTGATGACATGGGTAAAACAGACTCTGCTTGCGATTGCATTTGTCTGCTAATAATTTCGTGATGACAACCATCTATATTAAATGGACTGGCCTAATTATAGGAGTGGATCAGGAGCCGAACCGAAGAAGCTCTGATTGACAACACGGGGAGAGATTTTGACGAGTGGACTCGTCTCCAAATCGACTTCTGTGACACCTATCGAAGCCTAATTCATGACGGAGTCACAGATCAACTAGTGCATGAAGGATTGACATCCACACCCAAGTTACCCCCTGATTTCGCACTACTTGGCCAGTTGCCACCACTGACCGATAGTCCGGAGCGCCTGGTGCGCGCTATTATGGTGTGTCGACAGATGATCCTGTTAAAGCATTCCGACTCACCTCAAATTGCTCAATGGCAAGATCGTTTGATTGAGGACTGGTGCGAGTTGAGAGAACTTCTGCAAACCCGAGGCGAGTTGCTCAAAGCTGCTGGAAATCGGCTCCTCTTCCTTCGTCGTTGTGAGGTGAGTTATTCCCTCGGTCAGAAATGTCGAAAGCTGGTGAATAAAATCATACTGGGTTTTGATGATGGTGTCAGGGTTGAGAGAACAAGGTATGTTGGACTTGGAGGCGATTTACCTGGATATTGCAAGTTGGTTAGACCTCCAATCCGCTGATCTTGGGGAGGTGTTTTAAAAATTGTATTACGTACATTTGCAGCTTGATGCTTTAACAGAAGCACATAATCCTGGCGTCTAAGCTCATTTGACTGCCTTCATTTTCCAAACACTCGACTGACAAAATGAGCGTATCAAACTTACTGAAGAATGCGCATTTCTCTGATACTCTTCTCTAGTCTCGATGAAGGCCATATTAGGGTTCACAAAAAGGAAATTCGGGCAAAAAGATATTTTTGGAAATCCCTTTTTCTGCTCTCTCCAAACTCCCTTTTTCTTCCCAAACTATATCACTCTCTTATGATTTCACGTAAGTCAAACAAACTTAAAAGGTTTTTTTGCAGTCTAGAAGAGGGGATAGATAGAGATAAATAAGAAAAATGAATCAAAACATATTTATAAAAGG